AGGTGTACCAGATCACGTCGGTTTCACCAATGATGATGTCACAGGTATTCAGTGTTTGACAACGCTTCTACCAGTAACACCTTCTAATATATTTCGTTCCCGCCCAGAGAAATCAAAAGACAGAGTCGAGGAGGTCGGAAGAGTATATTTGGCGATGACCAATATATCGGAATTCTCTGATCTAATCTGGCTAGCGATTGCGGTTGATGTTGAGCACGGCGTTACCACACGTGATCTGGTGCGGATGCCTGACCGAGCGCCTTCAGCTAGGTGAGTCCACTAAAACATATGGTCAGCATCCAATGTCGAAAACTTAGTGCTATTTATTTTGGGGATTTATTTACCGCTACATCATCATAAGATCATCTCTTATTCTCCTAAGGCTCAGCGAAAATAATCCCCAGTGTCAGAGCCTACCCTCGTACGATTTGTATCATAGCCCTATCCCGCAGTCGGTTGCTTGTCCCAGCACATGATCTGAAGAATTATGTCTCTTTTGAAGAGAGGAGGTGCATCGACATTCTGGACGTTAAGATAAGTCTGTGCATGTGTTTTGAACAGTGTGAGGAATGACTCTAGGGTGACTGCACCACGTTGTCCACGGTCAAAGTGGAAGGATGAACCAGCCTTGACTGGATCACCTATGTTGTTCAAGCTGGTGTTTAAGCTCTTCCTAATCGCATGCTGAAGATCACACTCTAAGGGGACAATCGTAAGGGAATTTCGATTGGATGTGTAGATGCTTCATCTCAAATGAGACAGAACTGTGATAACATAATATTTCGAAGATTTACGTCTTAACCCATTGTTAACTGTCCACTCCTCGATTATCGTAAGGTCCTTTTGAGGTTTAAGTGAATCCTTTCGTATTTTACAGACCTGATTTTCGCGTCGTTTGCATAGAATAGTGCCGTTGAGTTGATTTCATCTAACAGGTCATCATTAAAGATCAAGAGCGGGAGTGGACCTAACATTTTGAGACTCACTAATGTGCTCGCATTCAATTTACTTGGGTACGGAGCATTCTTTTCTCTAGGTAATTTCGATGTCAGGATAAGATTGGGTCAGTAAAGCCAATCTCTGCAATTTTTGGTAAGAGAAGTATATGAGGTGCTGTGCCAAAGACTTCCCTGAAATTAAGAGATATTATGTGAACTGGTATCTTTTGGTCCTAGGAGGTTGTCCAACTGTCCCATGATATGAGAAGACTGAATTGACATTACCTACCGTTACTAAACTTGTGTTTAGGTTCCTGGAGAACGTTGCTTTCACTCATAGACACCTCATTTGTTCATTTTCCAGTACGATAATCCACAACATTCTTTGCGAATCGACAGCTTCCTCGCGAACCAAATGTGGCTACTGTACAGGAGGAAATAAATGGGATCAAATGTCCGAGATTTCCCATACTGTCAGTAGGGTATGAAACCTGACAGAAGTTACACCTGTTAGATATGACCTAGGTTAGTACTGGTGCACTTATCCATGCTACTAAGGCAATAAACCTTATTCAATAACGTAGAGTTGCCATGACAAAACTAAAAGGTTACAAGGCACCTTATCTTAGATTGTCGTTCATCTGAAGCATATTGCAAAAATGTGGTTCATTTTTTAGGATTCTGCTGGGAAAGACTTGTGAAAATTCTAGCAAAAGGGAATCAACCAGCCGTAACATTACCAATCATCCCATGCTGAACACGTAAGCTATCAATCAAATTTCCCTCCACAAATCAACAAATAAATTCGAAGGCTGCTATAGTTTAAAAAACATGCTTAGAACTTGTGCTTAACAGCGATTCGTGAATTATTTCAATTGGAATACTGAAAAATTGTGAATATATACGTAGAAAAGCAGTAGCTAGATTCCGCACCGTTTACGAAAGACATTCGGCATACGATTGCTGTACATGATCAAAATGGTAGTTTTAACAAGAAAGCGTAGTAGTTGAGTTACCCATTACTGTTGCGCGGGTATCCTGATAAGCTGCTCGTGATCACACTGCTAAGATACCAGCCAAAGGAGCAGTGCTTGCGACTAAGGAAACTGTTCTTTAATAACTTATTCACCTTGAACTTGTTAAGTCACAGGGCACTGGTGGGTTATACGAACGACTGCTGTGATTTCGTCTGGACATTATTTCACAATCACTTACAGTTCTGCGCAACATGTCGCTTTCTCAAACTCAACTCCCTGAGAATCGGAATAGAGCTATCATAAGTCCTTTGTTTGTGTATAGAAAATGACACATCATGTCTGACTACCGACCCTTCAGTCTAACTAATATAGTAGTTGTGGTATTTGAGAAAACAAATCCGGATATGTTACCAAATCATACGGAACTATACAATCTGTCAACCTCTTGAGCAATACGGGTTTGGGAATAAAAATTCACGCTACATTATTTAGTGACTGCGAGAGAGTACCGGACATTAGACCAAGATATTGCCTCGTCTGTTGTTGTGAAATTCATAGGTTTCAGCAAAAAATATGATATGCTATCTCAGTAAGGATCTGTGCAGAATCTCTCAGGCTTTGGAACAACAGTTACGAAACAAGAGTAGATGAGAAACTTACAGTGGCCGGAGATGATGAGAAAAAGTGAGACAGAACCTGAATGGAAACGGATTACAATTGGTATACACCAAAGCACCATTTTAGGTTCTCTATAATTTGCTCATCCACGTTAGTGAACCGCAAAGGCTGGTCAGGTCGTTGACACAGTTGGTCGCAAGCAATGTCAAATCTGGAGTGAGCAAAGTAGTGGGGCTGGTCAACTGGACATCGCGGATCATACGTTCATTGGAGGCAGAAACCCTACTGATGCTCGATTCTTCAATCTCATTGAAAATCCGGGATTATTTGAAAATGTGAAGTCGGCAACTCGTTGGAGAAGCAGTCAGACACCGTCACGCTTAGACTGGGTATTTACAGACGAAGAATTCTTAATTGACAACCTCTCAATCCTGGCTGTTCTGGGGAAAAGCGATCATGCCATCATATCCTTCAGTTTTATCAGCAAAACTGAGCTAAGAGAACTTGAACGCTGACTTGGTGTGGCGGAAAGTGCAGCACCTAAAATAGACACTTCTCCTAGTCCAGATATAGTCCATTCTGCTATACTAAGAGAAGCACCTTCAGTCTCATATTCGCTAAACCGAGGCACATTACCAGAACAGTGGAGGCTGGCTCATATCGCACCAATTTTCAAAGGAGGTTGACGCAACGAACCTTCAAGCTAACGACCGCTGGCACTACTCTCTATACCCTCAAAAATTATGCAGTCCCTGATATGCGATGGTATACACGACTACTTACTATCCATGAACTTCCTTCCGTCCTAACAGCGTGGTTTCAGAAAAGGTAACTCTTGTTTAGTCAACCTGCCGACTGCGGTGGACAGATGGACAACCATCTTTGATCGCAAGGAGAAGGTTGACGTCATTTACATTGACTTATCGAAAGCTTTTGATAGGGTCGACGACAAATGTCTTATCAATAGGCTCAACCATTTAAGTATCAAATCACCTTTAACAGATCGGCTCACTTCATATCTAAAGAATCGACATTTTAAGGTCAGGGTTAACTTCAATTTCTCTCAGGCTATGGAATGTCCTGGTGGGATCCTCAGGGTTCAGTGATAGGCTTTCTTCTTTTCTTGACTTATACAAGCGATCTTCCACAGCAGGTATTGTCAGATTTACCACTTTTCGCTAATTATGTGAAACTCTGGAGGAAAGTATGCAACGAAGAGGATAAACCGGAACTTCAGAAGGATCTGACTGGACTTCGGGGTTGGCAGATGATAACGGACTTATCGTTAACACTTCAAAGTGTAAAGTAGTCCACCTGAGACATATTGCAGACTACAGCCACAACTTAGGCGGCTGCCCTCTAAAGGTATCCCAAGTTGGGAAAGATTTAGGAGTACTGGTACCCTACCATTTGAAGTCTTACGCTACCTGTGACAAAAATACCTTTCGAGTAAACCTTGCGCTGGTAACGTTTAAGTGCATTTTCGACCAGCTTGACGGAAGAACTTTCCATATAGTCTTCAACAGTTTCATTCGTTCCCGTTTAGAATACTGAGATATAGTATTTCCTCGGTGAGGCTATAACTTATGGACGACTTTTGAGCGACTCTAGACTGACCTTGAGAGTACCCACCTAGTAACCAGGACCAAATGTGGGTTATAAACCTGTGTGAGGAATCATAATTTACAGTTAGCGATTAAGGTCACGAATTAGATTTAGGGTTTTCATCAACTGACGCCAGCTACTATGCCAAAACTCCTGAAGATGCCACAGGTATTTGGAGTTTTACGACGCTTTAACCGGTAACACCTAATATTTTGGGGATTTATTTACCGCTACACTCTATTAATCCAAATGGATTACTGAATTTTGTGCCAAAATCTGGGGCCCGTCATCTTATACATGACTGGTTCGTCCATAAATTATAGTCTCGCCATTTCCTCCCTCACTTCAAAAGGATAAGGACATTCTGGAACTCATCCAACGGTCAGCCACAAAATCAGTTCGAGGACTCAAATTCAAGCCTTATGAAGAGCGCCACAGGTCACTGAACCTTTACTCACTAGCGAATAGACGTCTTATAGGCTACCTTTTGATGATTCTCAGCATCCTTAGCACTTCTGAGCAACCCCTTTAACACCTACCTATGCTTAGTCTGAACACAAACATCCAGAAACTGGGAACAAAACTTAGCAGAACGGAATATAGACACGCTTTCTACTCCTTAAGAGTAGTTAAATGCCGGAATTCACTGCAGCTTGAGCTAATTCAAGCGACTTCTCAGTGGTCCTTTAAGAGAAAACTTGATATATTCTTAAAAACTAAGGACAGTATCTCACTATGATTTATTAACATTTTTTTTTTTCTACTTAAGTTCCTACCTGCAGGCATCGGTGATCCACTGCTACTAGATACGGAAGGCCGTTAAGCGAAAGCTTCAATTCCATCCATAGTCATTTGAGGATTCTTATACGTGCGATTTTCGAACGGGAAGTTTAGTCCTAACGTGATTTGCATATATCAAACTTTTGCTGTGTTCTTACGCAACAAAAGTACCATTTCAGTTCTAAAAAATCTATCCTGAGCTATACGTTCGGTAGATTACTTTTTTTTTGAGTTTCACTATATTTAATAGTTACCTGTGGTTTTGCCTCAGCTTACTATTCGGTTTTTTTTGTTTTTCACGTATAGACTAGTTTCAGTTTATATCACTCGTTTTGTCCGTTTTTGTCCTTTTTCAGTGTGCATTTTAGTGTGTTTTTTTAAAAGGTCTTAAGCTTTTGCCAGCATCTATAACATAGTTTGCTTCAACACCGTCATGAAAAACTCATGCAAACGTCCGGGATGCCGTTTTGCTGTCACAACTGGCATGCAGTGTGACAACTGCAAAGGTTGGTTTCACGAAGCATGCACAAATCTGACAGCAACTGCTTACAACAAACTCAGCAAGTCAGACCAAAAGTGGGTATGTGTCACGTGCAACACGGACGCAGTAGTCTTGCTGAGTAACATCATTGTCCTACTGACAGGTCTTCGAAACAAGCTGTCAGTTAATTTGGAATACGACAGTAAAAAAACCGATATACAAACAAGAGCGCGCAACGGACTCAAAAATAGGGATGTCGATAGGTATGTCATCGATGGAGCATCCATCAACACTAACGACGACGTGTCGAGGCTCAGTACCATCATTACGTCGACGGTACTAGACTCCCTAGGCAAACTCGGGTCTCCCAGCTCAGGGTCGCTGAACACAACAGTGGTTCCCAAAAACCCTGCAGGCGATTCGACCCACGTTAAGAGAGTCCAAAAGAACCAGGCATCACCGCCTAAGCCGAGCAACCCAAGTGTTGCTGCACGGAAAATAACTGGTGATTTAGTCGCACAGTCTACCCCCAAGACTGTTCGTCCGGTCAATAAAGAGCCCAAGATTCATAAACGCACACTGACCTCCAAAAAACAAGTTATTAAACCTGAACCCATCGTGAAACCTGGTAAATTAACAACAGTTCGTGACGATTCTCTCATTATCATGAACCTCGTCGACAATCCTGACCTTCCTCTCAGTCTGCAGGATAAAAACGACAGGATGCTGTGGGGTGAATTGAACAAAAAGCTCGAACTTCCTAGAATAGAGCCTTTGACGGTCACCCGGCTCACTCGAGGAAAGGATTCTAAGCATCTAAATCACCCGAGGCTTCTCCGAGTAACACTTAAGAATGCTACCGACGTAGAGGACGTCTTGCTAGCAAGTCACTTACTGAAATCAGATGGTAACGTAAGAATATTGCCCGACATACCGTACTCTGAGCGCAATATCATACGAAACGTCCCTAAAGAATCTCGCGAGAAGTTCTTCCGCGGAAGAAATATAATTGTCCAAGGTATACCGGAAAATGCAGACCCTACTCAATCAAATTCTGACATCAGGGAATGGAAATTCATCAAACAGTCCTTGAGGCTCAAACACATACTGACTCAGCATGTGACGAGACTAGCCAAGAAGGACGGTGATCTTAGACCCCGTCTAATGAAGATAACCTTCCCATCTTCCCACATGGCGGCTGCAGTTCTGGAAGCATTTCGTGCTAATAGACGTCGATTGCCACCTGGAATCCACATGCACCCGGATAGGCCATACGAAGTCAGGACCAAGAACAAAGGCAAGCTGGAGCTGACCATTCCACTTGTGGACTGTCTAAACGATAAAAAAACGTGTAAAGGACAGGGCCTACCACCTCGGCAAACCTCATATAGGTGGGCTACCTGTCCATTCACATAAGGTTCATACAGAAAAACAGGACGAAGCTCATGCGTTCCAAATTGAAAGCATAAACTGCTTATATATGAACGCCGCGAGTTTACCAAACAAACTGGATGAACTACGTGAACTTAGCAACGCTAACAAGGCCCATCTGATAGGAATATCTGAAACCTGGATATCTTCTCAGTTCTCGGATCAAGAGTTAGCATTGCCTGGGATGACTTTGTTCCGCAACGACAGAAAAATAGGAATTGGGGGCGGAGTAGCCATATACATAAGCTCTTGCTTGGAGGTGCACCAGGTTCACAACCTCGAGTTTAACAATCTTGAGGAATCCATATGGTGCTCTGTAAGGTTGTCTAGTACTTCCAGGTGTCTAGTCGGAGTCATTTACAGGAAGCCAACTGCCGACACCGAGTACGATAGTCGTATGCTGGAAGGACTATCCCGCTCTATCCGTCTCGGTTTCACACACATCCTGATTCTAGGGGACTTTAATCTCCCTAGAGTCAACTTCGCGGAACACACGTACACTGGAGGCGACAACTCAACTGAAGCTCGGTTCTTCAACCTCATCGATAACTTGGGCTTATATGAAAATGTGAGGTCGGCAACTCGTTGGAGAAACAGTCAGACACCATCGCGCTTAGACTGTGTATTCACTAACGAAGAATTCCTAGTCGACAACCTCTCAATCCTGGCTCCTCTGGGAAAAAGCGATCATGCCGTCATAGCCTTCAGTTTTGTCATCAAAACTAAGCTAAGGTATCCCAACAATAATTTGCGATGGAATTTTAAACGGCTGAATGTGCGAGCTCTACATGACCATCTACAACAGGTGGTTTGGGATGTTCACCCTCAAATCGATGTGGATGGTCATTGGGACTTCTTGCTGCACACGCTCTTATGTGCTACAGACCATTCAGTTCCTCAAACGGTTCCCAAAAGCTTCAAGCCACCTACAGTAATCAAGAACCGTACCCTTCGCCTCCTAAGCCGCAAACGGCACTGTTGGGCGGAATACAAACGAACTAATAACGATGGAGCGTATAGGCAATATAAACATATCAGGAACATTTGCACGAAGGCTATAAGAGAAGACAGGCTTCGGTACCAAACAGAGCTTATGGACAAATTCGCCTCTAACCCTAGAAGCCTATTCCGTTATGCAGCCTCTCTTCGTCAAGCCAAAACAGGAGTTTCTCAACTGCTAGGTCCTAACGGCCCGACCAACAACGATGGCGACGCCGCTAACCTTCTGGCGGCCCATTACTCTCAAACATTTCAACCGACCAACATTAACTTTACTGATGATAGTTTCATTTGCAATTCCACAGGACTCTTCGAAGTGAACCTAAGTGCTGACTTGGTGTTCCGGAAACTGCAGCACATAAAACTAGACACTTCTCCTGGCCCGGACATGGTCCATTCCGCTATATTGAAGGAAGCAGCCTCAATCTCGGCAACGCCGCTTAGCGTGATGTTTTCACACTCGCTTAGCCGAGGCAAATTACCGGAAAATTGGAAGTTGGCTCACATCACACCAATTTTCAAAGGTGGTCGACGCAATGAACCTTCAAGTTACCGGCCGGTAGCTCTTCTGTCGTTACCTTCAAAACTCATGGAGTCCCTGATATGCGACGGTTTAAATGACTACCTACTGTCCTTAAATTTCTTCCCACCCCAACAGCACGGTTTCAGGAAGGGTTACTCTTGTATAACCAACCTGCTGACTGCAGTGGACAGATGGACAAGCATCCTAGATCACAAGGGGAAGGTTGATATTATCTACCTAGACCTCTCAAAAGCTTTTGATAAGGTTAACCACTTGTGTCTTATCAACAAGCTCAAACGACTAGGTATCAAACCACCTCTAATCGATTGGCTTACTTCATACCTAAAAAATCGACACTTTAAGGTTAGGGTTAATTCCACTTTATCTCAGGCTATGGAATGTCCTAGTGGGGTCCCCCAGGGCTCAGTACTAGGGCCTCTTCTCTCCTTGATCTACATAAATGATCTTCCTCAACAGGTAATGTCAGACTTATTACTTTTTGCCGACGACGTGAAACTTTGGAGAGAAATACGCAACCAAGACGATATACAGGCACTCCAGGAGGATCTGACTCGACTTCAAAGTTGGGCAGACGATAACGGACTTACCTTTAACACTTCAAAGTGTAAAGTAGTCCATCTGCAACATGTCGCAGACTACAGTTACAACTTAGGAAACTCCTCTCTAGTAGTATCCCAAGTCGAAAAAGATTTAGGAGTCCTGGTGCCCCATGACTTAAAGTCTTACGCTAATTGTGACAAAAATGCCTTCCGAGCAAACCTTGCACTGGTAACGTTGAGGCGCATTTTTGGTCAGTTTGACGGAAGAACTTTCCACACAATCTTCAATAGTTTCATCCGTCCCCATTTAGAGTACGGAAACATAGTACTCCCCCCCTCACTCCAAAAGGATAAGGTCACTTTGGAGCGTATCCAACGGCGAGCCACGAAATCAGTTCGAGGACTCAAATCTAAGCCTTACGAAGAACGCCTCCGTTCACTAGACCTTTACCCACTAGAATATAGGCGTCTTAGAGGTGATTTATTAATGGCTTATAGTATTCTTAACACTTCTGGACATCCTCTTAAACACCTACTTAAGCTTAGTTCGAACAATAACCTAAGGGGTAACACCCAGAAACTGGAAACACAACATAGCAAGACGGAATGTAGACACAACTTCTACTCCTTAAGAGTTGTCAAAAGCTGGAACTCGCTGCCGGCCGAGCTAGTCCAAGCGACTTCTCAGGAGTCCTTCAAGAGGCAACTTGACCTATTCTTAAGGACCAAGGACAGCATCGCACTATGATTTACCAATTTCTTTTCCTCTTTTATTGTTAACATACCTAGGTTCCTGCCTGGAGGATTTGGTGATCCCCTGCTACTAGACACGGAACCCTGTTAAGCGAAAGCTTCTTCTATTCCGTCCACAACCATTTGAACCATTTGAGGAATTTGAATATATCTTGTCCTTGTAGTTTGGCGGTATTTGAGAATGTCGCGCCTGTTTTTCTATAATCAGATCAAAGAAGTGATTAACCGTTTGCCTCCTCATTATAAGAAAAGGTATTTACAGAATCAGCATGAGTTGGCCAATGAAAGAGTGTGCAATTCATCACTACGTAAACACGAAACAGGAATTGCGTATGTTGACTTATTTCTTTGTGCTTACCGTTTTATCTAGGCTTCCTAGTTCGTATTTTGATACTCCTATGAAAATTGTCTATCCTCCTGAGTCTCAAAAATGCCTATGGGGTGGTGAGGGTATTATTCAGGGCTACTGGGAGAAAAAAACACCGAGGCCAAGGTTTGCCAAAATTAGGCCTAATTTTTGAAAGATTTCCCAAGACATGGAGTCCTGTTCTCATGGAAAACTTATTTCATAGTGAGATTCTAGACCGTTGGATGATTATAATAGTAACAGATAGCGCCCTAAGGCAAATCGAAAAGGCTAGTGGATTTGATTTCTATATACTCTCGGTTTGTCCATGTATATAAATTATATTGTTTTCTTAGACTCCAGAATCAAAACTTAGAAGTAGGCTTGGAATGCATTTAAAAAGAGATATGTTGGTAACGCTCGCAAAGGCGAAGATGAATGGTAAGATGAAAAAAAGCTGGGAAAAGTATTCTAAATTTATTATACCTGTGAGTCATACTTCACATATTATATATATTTATTTTTACTATGACCATTCGTCAGACGACTTTTATTTACTTATTTTATTTAAACACATAAAGATTTGGTACAAGGGGACACCAGATACATGCGCCACACAATAATAATGCGAATGGGAAGAGATAAAGAATGTATAAGTTGAAAAAAAGGGATGGATGAAGTGAGAATAGAGGCAGATAAGTGACAGTATATTAAGAAAATAATAACAGTAATAATAGTAAAAATGAGTGTTATCAAGTGAGTGTGAAATGTCCGAATTATAATTGGAGCAAACATAGTATTTCGTAAAATAATTGTTATCTATTCAGATTTGTGTGACGGCTGTGATACTGCCCGGGTGCCTGAATCGAAGCAGGTGGTTTCCTTAGGGGGCCACAGCCTAAGCCTTCAACCTAAAGGTCTGGCCCACAATTTAGTGGAACATCGTAAGGAGATGCAGTCCCATGGTAGCCGGTGACCAATAATTTGTTCATACGCCATTTGTTTCCTTAGTATCCTGGAGCTCATGTACACCATTGGTTTGGAATCAGGGTTTTCCAACTCCCCTAGGCGGATTTTCCATATCGACCAACCCGGTTAAACCGCCGGAGTTTCGCTTTTCGTCCTCAATTTCGTCAACAACACCCCCGCCACGAGCAGGCAGTGAGTAGGACTTCCCTGGCAGAGGCTATGTACGCGTGGTCATTTGAGAGCATTTCGAGAGGGATAGTTGACTCCTCACTCTCTGTCATGCCAGGGCGTTTGGGGGCCCTGAGATGACTTATGAGTCGTTAACCTTTATAGTGCCATCAAAGTCAATAGGCACCTTTTGTACACTACAATGCCGTTTCACTAGATGGCTCATTATTTTCAGTATCACCCTAGTCCAAATTCTCAAAAACGTCCAGGCTTTGTCTCTCATTTTGAGTGAGAACAGGTTGTATAATCATCGGTCATTTCAAAGTCCGTCACTGTCCGTAGGTTTACTTTAACGGGTACTCACAACAGAACTGAAAATTACATTACAAATAAAGGGTGTTATGTATCGAGTCGCATTGTTAAGCGCTTATATTACCACTACTAAGTTTGTAGTATATACTTTATCCAAGCTAGTGAGTACTAAACAGTTATCATTTCATATGTAGGAACGGTGAGAGGCCATTCGAAAGCACCACTTGAGTCGACTGTTTTCGAACAGTATAGCATTGTTTCCTAATTAATGAAAAAGTGGGTTTCCTGACGGTAAGAGGTGTGAATCGTCAGGAAGTGCCTCTAAGCAAAAAATCACAACCTAGAACTATTTTTTGGAGTAGGTATCAGAAATTTGTAATAGCGAACGCATCCTTTTATATTAAGTGAATTGTTAATCTATTTGGCCGGGCTGTGTAATACCACTAATCACACTGTTAGTATTCATTTCAATATTTTCCGTCAAATATTTTCAGATAGTCATTTTTGTCTTAAATGTTGTGTATGTTTGCTTTGTTGTCCAGTTTTTGAGTTAAGTTTTAGTCATTATTGATCTCATCAATACATGGATAGTCATTTTGGTTAAGTATTTTTCTGCCTTGTCCAAGTCCAACAGCTAGTCATCTTATGCATTGGTCTGTTAAGGGGCTATATTTACTTATAAGTAAATAGTTAATTAATGTAATTTCATCTACCAATTATAAAGAACGTTTTAATTATATATATATATATATATATATATAACCGGTGTATCTTTATACCGACTAACTTTAAAGCGAAATATGAAAAGCAATATTTGTCAAAAATAGGTGTCATTAGATGGACGAAACACTGGGCCAATCTAAAAAACGAAATTCTAGTACATTATACTTCACATCAATGCATTGGTCATATTCAGTAAATCCTTATTCGTGGGCTGCTTCTCAATTTTCATATGAATATTTTCACCAAAACTGAACCACGTTTATCTGCCAATACATTGAGCTACAATGCCAGGATGTTTAGGATATGTTTTTCCCTCTCTAAATGCAAGTTGTTGCTTCAGGAATGGCCTTCGTCAACACGTGAACCAAAGATGGGGAGTGAAGTAGTCGAACGCGTCGAAAACTTCACTTATCTTGGAAGTCTGATCGGCCCTAATGGGTTGATGTCTGACAAAATCTCTGCACGGGTTCAAAAAAACCGTTTGACTTTTGCCAACTTACGTTACCCATGGCAAAGGCGAAATATCCGTCCATCAGTTGCGTCTGCGAAACGTAGCTATTAAGAGTAGAAGATACTCGTAAGCTACTATTTTTGATGACACATGTCTTAGAAATATTGCTTGCATCTTCTGGGACCACCAGGTAAGTAATAGTGAGGTTAGACCCAGGGTATTAGGGAATGATGGTAAATCAGTTGATGAAGTTGTGAATCTTCACCGACTGAGATGGTAGGGTTACGTGTTTCTTATGCCTGAACACTGATTACCGCGGCGCACAATGCTGACTAGTGTTGGGGATGTCTGGGAGAAAGTTAGGGGTAGCCAAAACAAAACGCGGCAGCAGTCTTTGAAGTCACTAACTTCTAGTCTTAGCCATGTTGGTAGATCCAGACTACTTGATTGGGGTCCGCGTGATTATCGTAACCAATGGTTGGAGACTCTGGGTGACATGACTCAGAACCGATCATAATGGCGTAGGTGTATACACTATGTCTTTTAAACCATAAGATTAAAATTGCTTTGTATCTTTCTTTCTACGAACTAACTATTTCTCCCTGTCTCACGTTATATATGCGATCTTTTATGCATTACTACCATTGAAGTAACCGCCTCTATGAATTTTGTGTTGATCGTGGTGTGCTAATGAGGTGTGGCAACTTGAACCGATGTATATATGTGTCCTACGTTGTAGCTGACTGACTGACATAGATTAATAACACAGTTATCATTTTTAGCATATCATCTTGGAATTGACGCTGATGAGCGTGCTACCTTATTGACTACTTAGTCCAGAGTATAGTTTATGATAGTCTCACTAGTAGTGCTTTATCCATTCTCGATTTTCGTGAAAAGAGTAAAAATTTTGATTGTTAAACACCGCTCCTATATTTCGCTTTCTTGTGTTTTTTTTGTGATTGTACTGTGAAAGGGTTACACCCGAAATTAATGAAATCTACCATCAGACTATAATATTTTGTATCTTAAAATGTATAAAATCCCTAATATTTGTGGATAGTACCAACACGGTTAGTCCTAATTATATAAAAGAATAAGATTTCTCATTATTTATTCTTTCAATATTCGATTTTATGGTAGGTTGTTCATCCGTCTAACAAAAATTACATTCGTTGTTCGGTTAAAGTTGCTTTCCACACCAGACTTGAATCAGAGGAACTATTTAAATTCGGCGTGGACGTAGCCCACCCCATAGAATCAAACTTAAAACTTCCAGAACTGGAATTTAAAATGTCATCCTTACATCGCTTATCGAAGACCCAGTGATCCATGCTTACAAATTCAGCCAATTTGTAGTAAAGCATGATCACTGTTTACTACATATTACTTTATGTGTCTATCTCAATCAAATTTTACTATTGTATACATATTTCAACTTGTTTCTATGGTCACTCTAACCTTAATACTTTTATGTAGTTGGAAGAAGCTGAGTGGATTGGTTTAACACTCGAAGAAGCTGTTAAAAAACAAATGAAAATGGAACATGAAATATCCAGAAGTCAGCTAAAGCCACTAAAATTCAGTCTAGCAGAAAAATTGATTGATAGTTTAAGAAACCCTGTCAAAGATGAGAAAGGTTAGAGATAATTATGTCACCAAGCGTTATATACTATGCAACATTTTGTTTTTCATAAATTAAGATTTCCTTGATCTTTATGTAGTTTTATTATTTGGAAAATGCAATTTAAACAACAAGTTAAAATGTTCCAGGCATTTATCATCGTGAACTAACGCAAGTTATAGAACCTTCAAAAATGAAGTAACACTGGACATCTTATTTATTTATTTTAACACATAGATATTGGTACAAGGAGGCACCAAATACATATGCGCCACACAAATCTCATTCGATATGTGTGAAGGCTGTGATACTGCCCGGGTGCCCAAACCGAAGCAGGTGGTTTTCTTAGGGGGCCACTCCCCGAGCCTTCGACCTGAAGGTCTGATCCACAAGGCAGTGGAACATCGTAAGGAGATGCAGTCCCATGGAAGCCGGTGACCAACAATTGGTTCATACGCCATTTGTTCCCGCAGGATACTGGAGCCCATGTACACCATTGGTTTGGAATCCGGTTAAAGCGCCGGGCATTCGCTTTTCGCCCTCAATTTCGTAAACAAACCCCCGCCACGAGAAGGCAGTGAGTAGGACTTCCCTGGCAGAGGCTATATATGCGTGGCCATGTGAGAGCATTTCGAGAGGGAGAGCGGACTCTCCCCACTCTCGGCCGTACCAAGGCATTTGGGGGCTACTAGACATCTGCTTTACCTCGATTTGAGACTCTTCAACAATTGTAGCAGTAATGCTAATGATAGTAACCAAAACTCATGCAGTTGTTTATCGTCACTATAGTTTGTTAGAAAGAATAATGCACGAATATTATTATATTTTCGTGTATTTAAAGGTGAAGAGGATACATTAGATAGTTCAGCTTTTTACTTGCTTATGATACTGGCGGCTTTCAATACAAGTCTTTAATGGTCATTGTAGAAATCAGACCTTATTTATGTGGTTTATCCTCGATTACTTTCTACCATTCATCGTCTAACCATGTGTTACAATGTTGAATTGCTTCGGTCAGTGGAATGAATTGTATATTTTAGTCCGCAGTTTTAATGTAGTCTTGATGAATAAAGTATCGAAAATGTCAGTAGCAAATAGCCTGTTTCTACAGATCTTACATTTTTTAAATATAAATACGTTTACCTATTCTCAAAATATTTGATTAATCAACATTTCTCTCAACTATTTATACTTAGATAAGGATGAAGAAAATCCGTCCAGCTACTCGTCTCGGATTTTCAGTTGATAAACCTTTGACAATGAACAAATATGATATGTCTCTTTTCTCAGAGAAGTTCAGATAACAAGGAATTCCTTATCATCTTGTGTCTACTTTGTATGTATAGTCGCTGAAATGATTTTTGAAAAATCTACTGTTTGCAACTGTTGTTTGGAACTTGAATTGTTTAGTAAATAAATATTTTATTATAAGGTTAGGTAATATTGCTAATGTTGTTGTGCGACCGAAATACTTTTTTTTTAAAAAGTGTATGTAACCAATGTCTGCTCTACTTTACCTTGTACGGTCTGATCAACATACGGAATTTATGTAACTCATCGTCCACAAATAATTGAAAGAGGAATTTAATAAACAATTAGTCAACAAACTTCAAACCCACTAGAATGAATGTTTTAACTACATACATCAAGACAAATATTCCGTCCCTGTCTCAATTGCATAATATCTAAAGTGTATTTTGGATTATGATTTTAGCCATTACGTTTTCTGTCCAACAAAACTGTGAGTAAAATTCTATTGATAATTATTCTTTGTTTGGACATCTTTCATTACACAAACGTTTTATTAGAATATGTTAAGAATGGAGTTTAAAACCCTAGATGGGAGCACATTTAATTTTTCTTTAAACTACGTTACTAATAATAGATGCTTAGGCCCTGATAAGTTGTAGTGTATAAAATGTTACTGGTTATTAAGTGTGGACAAATAGGCATTCTATTTACTGACTATAGAATATGTGATTTCCTTTCCTCCAATAACTGATTTCGACTCCGGACTCAATGAAAGTGACTATTTGTGATTATGTAGAATAAAGCATTTCTAGCGTTACTCTGCTTTTCCCTTTTTGATCCTGAATCAGGTATGATATAATTTTATATAGTCGTATAGTGTATCGCTCGAGTATCCAATCTAGCAGTATTGTAAACCCGGTCCAGCCTTATTACCATATTATCGTAGTACACTACTGAGCGAAAAATATTTACATTCAATCTGTTAAATCAGGGCCATATGAAATAGTTAAGTAGTCACGCAGATTTCATTGTTTTCTTATTGGTGTTGATGGCCAGCGAGTTGAGCTTATTCTTTTCGGTTAATATTAAAAATGTAAAAATCAGTAATAAGACTTTCTGAAAACTATGCTATGGTTCTGTGATTGAAGTGACTTCTCGTGCAATTTTGACAAATTGCACGAGACATGTTCTCTTAGACCAACAGTTCGTGCTCACTTTCTGTTGCGCACATGGCAATATCTCATTCAAACATAGTGCATCCAATGTCTGGTCATTCAAACTTATAGTCACACGACAACTTGATTGATAAAATTGATTAGGACTAATATTGTTTAAGATTTCAATTCACCAATACAATTTTAATCAGCATTCTCATTAAAGATGAAATTAGAATGTAATCTGTTCAGGGTTGTATTCATCTTCAAATTCTTGGGAGTGATTGTACATCAGACTACAAATTCAAATCAACTAAGCTCGAAATTGCTCCTTTATTTAAGCAATGACAAGCTAAATTTTATTTTCCTATTACTGAGAGAATTGTCCTTCATACCCAGTAATGGATCGAAATCCGTAATTTAATCAAAAATGCAAAATTTTTCATCCCATGTTCACTTTATCAGTAAATTTCCGAGAATCTGTAAAATTTGTCACAATCTGTGCGCAAGACTAATTCACTACCATTGCATGTACTATGTATATCAAAATTTTCTTCTCTTCTGCCATTGTCTTGGAGATGCTTACACCAATGTTTATTATCGTAGTTTACTTGGGAGATGATAATAGCACTAAATGTCCAAGCACTCTAATAAATGAACCTACTCAAAAATGGCCTTTTTTTTAAGTCTTTACTTCCTTACAAGCATATGTGACAAATCGTTCATATTATACCCTATTGACTACAAACATTACTCTAATTATACTGTTTGCTACATTATTGTAAGAATGTATACAGAATAGCAGTTTAGTTTAGAAAATCTTCACTAAGAAACGATTGATAAAATAGATGTAAAAGGTAGTTTATTGTCAGTCAGTCAGTCAGCTACAACGTAGAACCAGGCACATATGTGCATCGGTCCAGGTTGCCATACCGCATCAGCACAACAAGATGAACACCGGATTCATAGCAGTGGTTAGGTCAAAGGTAGTAATATGTAAGAGAAAGATTGCATATAGAGATATAGTACAAGAAGAAAGAATTGGTACGTAGAAAGAAAGATATGAAGCGATTTTAATCTCTTAGTTTAAGGGAAGACAGGGAGTGTATACACCGACGCCATTGTGATCGATTCTGAGCCATGTCACCAAGAGTCTCCAACCATTGGTTACGATAGTCACGCGGACTCCAACCAAGTAGTCTGCATCTACCAACATGGCTCAGACTAGAAGTTAGTGACTTCAAGCACTGATGCCACGTTTTGGTTTGGCCTCCCCTAACTTTCTTCCAACCATTTCCAATACCGGATAGCATTGCACGTCGTGGTAATCGGTGTTCAGGCATACGTAACACGTGGCCCAACCATCTCAGTCGATGAAGATTCATAACCTCATCAACTGATTTACCATCATTCCCTAATACCCTGCGTCTAACCGCACTATTACTTACCCGGTGATCCCAGCAGACGCCAGCAATATTTCTAAGGCATCTGTGGTCAAATACTAATAGCTTACGAGTGTCTTCTACTCTTAATGGCCATGTTTCGCTGCCGTAAATTAAAACAGAACTGCCGCGCAGTATACTCGTCCTTTTATTGATAGACGGATATCTCGCCTTCGCCATAGGTGACGCAAGTTGGCAAAAGCCAATCGAGCTTTTCGAATCCGTGCTGAGATTTCGTCCGATACCAACCCACTAGGGCTGATCAGACTTCCAAGATAAATGAAGTTGTCAACGCGTTCGACTACTTCACTCCCTATCCTTAGTTCAGGTGTTAACGCAGACCAGTCCTGAAGCAACAACTTGCATTTAGAGGGAGAGAAACGCATTCCAAACATTCTGGCATTGTTGCTTAGTGCTACCAAAAGACTGCATTTTGTCAGCGTCTTCACCAAAGCTGTCTTGTGTTCCCTATAGTCGCCGCCTTTTCCATCTCTTTTGCTTTCGTTGCCCACCACTGCTCACGGTCGTTTCTTAGACTTTTTCTTAACCTAGATCTGATTTGTTGTCGCTCTTCATCGTGATCAGAACCTGATGGGACGAGTTTGCGAGAATCCACCAGTGTGATAGACTTTGAAGAAATCCACTGGTTCTTTGAAACTCTTTGGTTTAAGTCGCTAATAGATGTCACTGCTGCTTCCACAGCTGCTTGTATTTCATTCCAAGCAACATCTGGGTCAGCCTCGTCTTCAGAACTACCTAATTGTGAACTCAGTTGTTCTTGGAACCTATTTTTGGTTTTCTCGTTACTCAACTCAGTTCTAATGGGTCTTTTTAATGTGGCTTTTTTGCGTCCAGTGAGGCGCAAGCAGATGCGTGCCCGTATTAGGGCATGGTCGGAGTCCAAGCAGGTACTCCAGAACGAGCGACAATCTTGTACCGACCCTCTCCAACGATGACTGATGGCAATATGGTCTATTTGTTAGACGATGTCTCTCCTTATGCTTAAAATTTGTGTTTGCTAAAAATAAGCGATTGTCTGAGCACAGTTGCAGCAGACGATCACCATTATCTGTTCGCTGTGCCGGAATGCTAAAATATCCACCTAAATGCCTTTCTGTTTGGTTTAAGCTACCTATCTGAGCATTAAAGTCACCCCGTACGAGTACTATGTCTGAGCGTTTAGCTTTCTGAAGAAGTTCGGACAGCTTTCTGTAAAATTCATCTTTCACTTCATCTGAGCTGCAGTCGGTGGGAGCGTAGGCAGAAACGACGAAAAGGCAACGACGTGTGTCCCTATCCTCCCCAGTTCTTACGGAGCCGTTTAGCCGAACAGCACATAGACGACTGTTGACGGGGATCCACTCTAGCAGTGCTTGTTCCGCCCTCATGCTTAGTGCTATGCCTACACCTGCCAGTCCACGAGAACTGGCCATCGGGTCACCAGATACACGTAGGGTGTATCTCGTTGGCTCTCCGTTTTGCCGAGCTGAGGTAAAGTGAATGACCACACTGGAATCCTGTATGCGTGTTTCGGAGACACAGCATACATCAATGGAAAGAGACTCTAGGGTTTTAGCCAAGGAAGCCTGCTGACCGATTTGACATAGGGTGCGTACATTGAAGGCTCCAATGTGTAGTTTGGAGCGAGGTTTCAGTAGACCTGGGACAGAGTTTTGAGCACTAGAATCGTTGGCTATGGTGACACTTGAGGAGGAAGTTTAGGGTTGAAAGTCGATGTAGGAGGAATAATAGGAATTGAAGAGGAAGGTTGATTATGAATACAGTGGTCTTGGGTGCTGTTAGAGGTATGAGGGCGGTTATCACTCCCCGGTTGCCCACACCGAGGAAGGGTTCTTCTGGAGGTACCTGAAAAGGAAATTGGATTAGAGGTGGTCTCAGTGACCTGAGAGTGTGACCGCAGTGCCCAAGGGACAACTGCTTGAGGCCGGTCGCGCACGGCCTTTTCGTGGGAGGTTTTTGACGTGTTAGCTCCGTTCTTCAAAGGGCCTTACCGCCGGAGACGGAAATCCGTGAGGTAAGGTGAGGTGCGCATTTTTAGGGTCGACCTTTTCTAACCCCACCCCTCCTTGTGGGAAGGCAGCATCGCTGTCATGCTGGTTGTCTGAAGGAAACACCTTACTGCTGTCACACCTCTGTACAGTCAGCAGTACGACTTCGCCTTCGGACCTTGGGTTTGTTGCTTTTAGTCTTACCGCTCTTCAACCGACCTGTCTGACATGGTAGGACCTTGAGGAACGGTTGTTCCAGCCAGTATAGCTCGGTTGCTTCATCACGATAGGCAAGCCCGACCACCACGTCAAGGTAGCAACAACGGTCGGGAGGTAGTTTATTACTGTGACTTTTTCTCTTCTTACTCTTTGTTTTCATTTTCTTCAGTTTTAGATGCTAACACGAACTTTGTGACTTGACTGAAGCCATCTAACATTACAATACGTACTTTCTTGACCTTCACAAAGATGGCATCAGGTAATAATGAACACGGAATTGTCGTAAAATACCAAGTTATATTCTATTAAATAAACTATTTAGTGTAACTTCCATAACAAAAGTATGGTATCTATCGTTCTGAAACGCAGTACACTGTATTTGTGCTACTTCTCTACACAGGTTTTTCATACACCATTTATTAAGAATAACTCCACGGTTAAAATATTTATAGTTATTACGTCATGTATTCCGAAAATAATGTTGTACTTTAACATGATGTCACTTCTGACCAAAGATGTTTCTCATGATAACAAAGGAGGTCCAAGTGGAATTCCCATTTAAATATCAGCTGATAGTTTACTAAATAAACTAATTTTAAAAGATTACTGGAAAAAAATAAACTGGAGATAACATTTACAAGTTCATTTTATAAATCAGAAAAAGCCATGCGAAAACAAAAATCATCAAGGATGAATAGTTAACTAAAAAAAAGTAACTGACGGTTAAACGCAACACCTAATCATTCTACATTTTAAAATTAACTTAATAAGCAACCTACATATCTTAAAGATATCCATATCCTATGAAGTTGGTTGTACGGTGGCAGCAGTACGATGAGAGTTCAAAATTAGTTGTGTTGTTACAAGCAATACTGAAAATCATAATAATCGAGGTAGAGAATGCATGTTGAGTCACGTAAATTAATAAAATTTCACCACTGCTAAATAAATAGACATCACATTGTAATTCAGTTTGCAGTGGTTTGAATTATTCCATTGTTGATGTTCCTAACTGAAATTTTGGTCAGTATCACTTAGTCTGTGCACATTCTATAACGAGTCAGAAATTGGACGAAATGCGCGTCTTACATTCAACTCCTAGTTATATTCCATCTCTTATAGAATGCATTACACTGATTACTGCTAAGTGATCAATCAGTAAAGAAAACAGGGGTTCTTATTAAATCAACCAATAAGATATCTTTCATAAAAGTACGATATTTTCAGGGGCTTGGAGTGGATAAATTTTACTTAGTAAGTGGAATTTCACTTTTGTATATCCATAAGAAACAATTAATAATCACGATTTCCTCCCGCAACGATAACGTACCAATCACGTTCGAATACTTTCTCTCATTAATCTATTGTGGTAGTGGATGCTTTCACACGAATATAGGCTATTTGACGAATTACAATTTTAGGAATTCAATAAGATAGGTTATTTATTAAATCAACGTATAAGGTTTACAAGAAAAAACAGTAGTTTATACCAAAAAATTAGAATATTAAGAAAAATATATAGGAGGAAATGATTGAATTTGAAGTCATTGAGTGATGTGTATCAAAGAAATTGTGACAATATCAGATTGAATTCTTAGAGTTTGTTTTCGATCTCCATATTTACAATTCGCCTGCTATAACTAAATTTACATATCTCGCGGCTAATGGTGGGTCCCATTCAACACTCTACAATGTATGGGACAATAAGAAAATTACCAGAACACCAAAACAATTTCATTAAATTGCAACATAAAAAGTGTTATATCACTGTTTAAACTTAATAAACGAATGGTAACTTGTTTATTTTTACATAGAAGTCTTAAGTCCCATGCTTGGAGCTTGGACGATAGCCTCAAGCTGAAGACTTTTGAGATGGTGGAGATTTGTAGCTCAAGCGGATGATTTTGATGGAGTTTTGTTCTCTGAGCTGGAAGTTCTCTAAAATCGGTTGTAGGTTCTCACAATCTCTGTTTTCCATTGAGTTTTAGTTTTAGCATCGTCTTTAACTCTTTATTTCTCAATCTCATTTGTTTCTTTAAAACTATATTTCTTGTGCTGAGATTTTTATTGCATTTTGTGTTATTTCCCTTCCTATTCTATTCATCTTGTTAACCTCTGGTCATCTTGCCGTGGCAACGTGTACTGATACAAATCCATCCTCAGTTGTGTATTAACTGTAACTGGCTTACTTATTCTGATGTGAGACTAGTCAGAGTACACCATGCAATTATTTTTTCCATTATGGTTTCAGATTAATTGAAATGTGCATAAAGTTTTATATTTTTTCGAATGATCAGTTTTTACGATCAAAGTTCAAATAATCATTTTTTATAATCTCTCAACTTGGTGATATAAGGTAATTGGAGGCAGCAATCGGTACTTGTTAAATGTTCTTTTACTATCATTCAATTCATTCATCATCGTATCATTCTACTTGATGATACCAATCCATTAATTTGTTGCTATTTTCCCTTGTATTTAGTCTGTAGCATCTTTCTAACCAGTAACATATTTACTATCAGAATTCCATGAATCGAAGTAGTATATTGTCATAAATATTGCCGTCACATTATTCTAATATTGCAAACACCTATCACCAAAATCTTTCGAATAAATATTTTAGAAAACCAAACAATCTGATTAGATATCTGAAACTTGGTTGGTTGTAATATACTTTCGAGTTTGATAATAAGAACTAGGGACGTCATTGGAACGAAGGAATATCTCTATACTATTTTTTAATGTCCTAAATGAACACTTTAAACATCTTTTTTGATGAAAAGCACTTAGGAGACGTTAGGAAATCAAATGAAACAAAATGCAATGAATTTATTTTATTCTTTAAAACGTTTAACTATTATTATTATTATTATTATTATTATTATTATTATTATTATTATTATTATTATTATTATTATTATTATTGGTGAAGAAGAACTGAAGTTATAACAATAGCTTGATAATACAATCACAGTTAAATAAGCGAATCAACTGTATGAATGTAAAACAATCGATGAAATAAATATACAAACCTTAGAGAATAGCTGATCAGCTAATAGTTCATCTTTTTGTACACCTTTACCACTTTTTAAGCATAATGCATAAAGAAAACATGCCATTGACATAGCTCGATATTGAAATGTTTGTATACATTCTGATGTTGTCACAAAATTGTCACAAGTTACCATTCTGTACAAAGACATATTTACAAAATAATCAAATACTAAGTTTGTAAAGATAATGTATGTTTATGAATTACTTGGAATTGGTAAAATATTCAAATGAGTTAAAAGATAATTTTCGTGTATTTCCATCGTAGCAATGCTTATGATATTAAAGTTACTCAAATAATTTTTTTCAGTTCGTGGTAAAGAACAGTGAATAAAGGCATTTGTGTTAGGTAAATAATTGTTCTTTGCGTTTTGACGAAACTCTTGTGAAACAACAACGTGAAATTATATTCGGGTAAATAACAACTGAGTCGGATTATTGGATCACAAATAACATTCAGTTCTCGAATACGAAGTCATCCTTCAGTGTGTTTATTTGTCTACTAATATAACCTATTTTACTTAAAATAGTTTTCATATTATAATCAAGTATGGTATTTGTTGATGATAATCGATTCAAAAGCAATAAATTCTATATTTTATAGTCGTTATATTTCTCTCTTACAGTTATAACTCAGCTATTCCTATTGCTTAGTATTCTTGGACACCAAATCACTCGAAAAGTCCCCAAATCAGAACACTGTTGAACAGGAAAGGGATTATATTCCAAATAACAAGTTTAGATGGAAGTAAGAAGCAGATAAGTAGCGCAATAGGGAAAACGCTAGTGTATTTATAGTTTTTCACATGAGATTTCTAGTGTTCACTAAGTATTGACTAACGCTGATTGGCTAATTCTTATCCAATCAGCGCGCACCACTGAGCATGCTTTAATCCAGTTCATGTCCCGCTAACAATAGTAATAGTAAGAAATTATTCAGAACTTTTCTCCGTCATCAACGAAAATTATTTTTCTGCTAAATATTAGAATGATTTTCATCAAGATTTCATAATGATCATATAAACACAACCAGAAATTACTTAATTGTATTTCTAGTTTGATTGTGTTGATTCTAAGTAGTCTTCACTCATGAAAATCTGCACATTAAAACTAGAAACGTGAGATAGTCTTACACGCGATACCGATGTTCAGCCTGCAGATAAGTATAGCGAATTCGAGTTAGAACTTATTACTTTTGTATCATATCAGTTTTTATAATAAATTAATAAAAGTCAAGAAAGTGAGTCTTAATTCATATTATGTCACCAATCGATTGAGATAGTGAATTTCAACTAATCCAATTCAGAAGACTTGATGGACATGTGTTATATTTTAACAAGTGCTTTAGATATTTACTGCTAGATGTGCAGGTAATGCATTTAATGAATATGTGTTCTATGGTATAGTATAGTATATTAAATTGGTTTCCCACACTTGAATTCTCGTTCATTACGATCACAGTTCCATCGAATAGTTTCAGTTAATTTAAACAACAAACGAGTACAAGGACGAAAATCCTTTGTAAATACGTCGTTATAGCCGAATATATGCGTTTACTAAGGAAGAGAATGCTGAAAAGGAATACAATACTATGAATTAATAAAATAAGCATTCAATGTACTGAAACACCATTCGTTAGTGAAAGTCCGATGATAAAAGCTGCACATTTTAAAAGTATTAATATGTTCCATTGTTGTTAAAAACGAAAGTAATCAATTGTATTGATATTTAGAATATAGATTGGTTTAGATAAAAGTAGGAAGTATCAGTCGAAAACGAAATATTCATCTGTTGTTTGTTGTTTTGCTTCTTTGTTAGCTTCATTTTAGTCTCGTCTCCGATAGACAAAGAATATTCGTCTATATGTAATTAAGAAAGACTAGTATCATTACAGACTTCTTATTACCAAATCAGAACACTCGGTTAGTTATAGACTCATAACACAAACCTATCCAAACAAAATACACAATTAAATTAAAGATTGTTCTTTTAGATTAGATGATACGGGTAATATATTTTGACAATTAAAATTATTTATATTACCTGCTAGCCAAGTAACATACATTCGTAAACATTTTCCGTCGATAGTAAAAGTAAATTAAATTTGCTTTAGCATATAAACTGCCTCTTGCTGAAGCTTCAGATAAACAGAATAAAGCATTATCACAATTTTCTTTCACACCTATTCCATATAAATACATTACACCTAATACGGCTAAATAACAAAGGTAAATAAAAAATAATAAGAGCAGGATAATACATAGTAGATGCCACCTTAATACATTTTACTTTAATTTTGTTGTGACAAAGTAAAAAAGAAATGAAAATACTTCAAATTATTTAATAAACTTACTCGTATTTGAAACTTATAATTGGGCGGAACATGTGAGAATGTATATACTACATTTCATCACTGAACAAAGTAGTAATCTTGACCTTAAAAAGAGGTTGTGAAATCCGATGTACACAACTCCATGAATACTTTAAGCATTTTTGAGCTTTTTGCCTACTCAGTCGTAATCATAAGCAAGCACGGTATAATGATTTTCCAACCAACTAACGTGGATTTACGTATGGAAGTAGCGTGTTTAGGAAACCATTTTTCAGGAACGATGAGAAGTCTTATGCAGATATGCAAATATTTGAATGACTCAAAGTTCTAAATTAAGTTTGACTAATAATTTCAGAGCAAGACTAATGGTTCGTGCCGATTTTGTGGAGAATTCTGTCAGTTCATTAAAACGTTAAAACAATTAGCTCATACGTATGCATCATAGAGAAAGATTCTGAATACTTTTGTTATTTACATAAATTGAACATTGACAAACCATTGTTCAACGTTCTACTCATTGGGATGCCAAAAATATATTTATTATTAACTTTCAACCCAATGCTCAACTTATTTAAAATTATCAATTTCAACCTTGGCATCAATACCCATAGAGTAATGATCGGTTCAGTTTCTAGAGTGGTGCTAAGAACAGTAGGTTTTGCAACACTACATCCAAAGAGGGCTCGTACCAACTAAATCGAACTTCCGTCGGTATTATACGCGATTTACAGTCAGCATTAGAGTGATTATGCACGTCACCATGTTTAGATGGAGTATATTTCTATATCAATTATTCAGAAAAAAAACTTGTTTTACCTGCAATTAGTTTATTAATCAGTTAAAAATCTAAGACGTACGTTATCAACGCAGTGTATGGATCATTTTCTATTCATAAGCTAACATATCACTTTACAGGTAGTCGAACTTCAATCAAAGCTTTCTGCAAGACTTGAATCTCTAGATTCAATCAACCATGAGATTGACAATATACAATGCTAATATCTTTAAATAAGATGAGCTATTCTGCTAAGTCCGAGGTTTTAGTTGTTTTCCAATTGATTCCAACTTGCGATTTAAGAAAGTTTGTCTAAAGACTTCCGTATCGTGTGTGAGGCAGTTACCCAACGAAGACAGTAGAAAATGGTCGCGCAAAATCATAGAACAGTTGAAGTTAGATACTAACATTTTTGGATGTCGGCTCAGAGGTCTATAGGTTAAGCGTTCGTGCGTGACACCGAAGGTCCTGAGTTCCGCGTGCGGGATTGTGAATACTGACTGCTGCGGAGTTATATACTACGACGGAACGGCCATTCAGTGGTTGCAAGTTTTCAATGGTGGTCTAGCATTGATCGATTCATGATCTCAATTAAAACTTTGTAAGTAATTTAATACCAGTAAAATATTTTCATGAAATTTATTGAAAGTTGTTCCTTTACAAGTATTTCAATAAAGTTTCTTTGGCAAACTACCAACGCCCTTTTCATATAATCGCAATAAATATTTCATGTTTTCAGTGTACTTTAATTTCTAATTAAAATTATTTAAAATCAAGCTATGGATTAGTACTTTATTTCCTATACTATATATGTTAAGGTATATGATCCAACAAATAAACGTTGCTAATTGATATATTTTAGTTTGAAAAGATATCCGGTAAGCGTAAGTAATAATCCTATTAGATAAATGAATATACAACGGATTAAAACTATATTATTATTAATGGCTTTATTCAATATTATATTTCGGTACACTATAGAATTCTTAGCATAAGGTATTTCAACAAGTTTCTTTTACGAAAAACAAAAAACGACTGAAAGAAATATGTAAAACTGTACAACTTTCCAAATTAGAGACATGTTAAGAATGCAGGTTATTGACTAGGTTAATTCTAACAACCTGTTCGTCACGGACTATATTTGCTAGGTAAGGTATTATAGAACTTTTATACTTTTGCTTGCGTGCATGGATTTTAATGTAATTACGTCTCGTTCTGCCAGAAGATATACAAGGAGAAAGATATGAGTGAAGGGAATGGCTAGTATCTGATAAAATAACACCTCCCAGGAGTTTGCATGACTTTAGATGTCTATCCACAGCCATATTAATTATGACCTCAAAAGATTCACCACAGACCTTGCTAACTGCCTTCAGCACTCTCCGCAATACAGCAAAGTCTTTTCTCAAAAACCCGGGAAAGAATAATGAAGAACAGTAAATAATAGTAGGTAATATGCAAGAATTGACAAATTGTAATAGTAAATGACGAGTAATCCCAAGAGCATGCAGTCTCTTTATGTAGTAAGTCAAACGGAAAACTTTCTTCGATAACAATAAAACGTGAGAAGACCAAGAGAGATCAAAGGAAAATGTGACATCAAGATAATTGACCTTCGACACTGTGTTTATCAAAGAGTCTCCTATGGTACAAGCATTATGGGATCTCAAAATGGTGTTTAGATTCCGTTCATGTCTCATGCTAAAGTTAACAGCTTGACATTTAGACGGATTTAGTATAAGACCATTAATAACAGACCAACAATCAATACGAGACAAAAACTCATTCATTTCTATGGGATGTAAGAGGTAGAGATAGGAATACATACAGTGAGATCATCCACATATTTCACAAAAGTGTTTACTGTGGAAGATGGCAGATCATTCAGAAAAGAAGAGGTGAAAGAACGGCTTTTTGTGGTACACCTTCATGAGACAGTAGATACTCTGAACACTTTCCTCCAAAAGCCTCTTCAGTCATATTAAGTCAAAGAGGAAAGAGTAAAGTCTTGTAAGGACTGATAAAGTTAGATGTAAAACCTGTAATAATGGAAAGATTGAACTATCGCAGTACACCAGAACACATCTAGATATCCAAACAAATATTCACTCATGGTACTTATAGTGAACGATCCTTTGTGATTAACATATGATGCGGTCAATCAACCATGGTTTTAACCATTCAAAAATAACGTAATTTACGTGGTCTACGATATTCCAGTTATTTTCTTGGTAAAGTGGCAATACATGAACAAATTACTAACCAGAACTTCGGTCACACCTCCATATATTATAAGAAACTCTCAATTTAAATATGCATTAAACTATGGCTTTTTCACAAATGTCATTCAATGAACGGATTCCAAAACTAAAGAGTATAGGTAAATTTATTATATAGCAGGTAATCTAGTTCTAAGCCAATAAAGAAAGTTGTCATACGTTTGCCATTCTAAAGGATAGATGGTAAGGAAATTATATCTATCGAGTAGTTACAGAATGTTCTACTGAAATAATCGTTTACAACTGTTGGATATGGATCAATTTTACTACCTAACACTTGAGCATGGAATTTAGTCTAATCTTACTTAATAGTAGCACTCGATAATCCTGTTTTAACTCATGAAGTTGGTATTTTAAGTTTTAACTTCAAGCAACTTGTCAAGAAGAACACAGATGTATAATTCAATAATTAAGTCAGACGTCTCAGCTAAATCAATTAATTGATTGATGTTGTAAATGACATATATACTTTAGAGTATTAATCAATTAATATCAACTACTGTAGTGGTGAATGCTACTGATGTCGACAGATATAAGTACTATGTAATACCAATCGGAAATGGAGTACCTGGCAGCAGAAGACTGAATTGAAGAGAACAGAAATGCAAACAGAGATTAATTGTAATAACAGAATTGGAGGAATCATGAAGCATCTAAAGGACAACTGATGGAAGATGTGCAAATAATGTATTTGGCGAGACTATAATTTATGAACGAACCAATCAGATATAAGATAGCAAGTCTTGGATTTTGGCACGAAGTTCATCCATACATTTGGCATTATATATGATGTTAGTATGTGATGAAAACCTTAAGTCTGATTCCTCACCCTAATCATCAACTGTAAATCATAATTCTAATACCCCACACTGGTTTATAACCCTCATTTAGTTGTAGTTAGTAGGTGAACATTCTCAAGGTCACTTTAGCATAGCTCAAAAGTCGTCTATAAATTATGGTCTCGCCATGTATTTAATGTATGCTTTTCGAATTTACAAAGCACTGTGTAATTTTACATTCAGTAATAAATTGATTTGCCTCTCTAAGTCATCATTTACTTTACTGTCAGTTAGATTTGCTTGAATTTGATTTATTGACTAAATAACCAAAAGACTTTTACGATGCAGTATTGGTCACTTCGAGATTTGTTGTTAGTAAATAAAAAATTCTTCATCTCCAATTTTCTGTTCCTTGGGTCGAGTAAATCAGTCTTTGTTTCGTTATACAGTAAGTATTAAGTAACAGTAATATCCACGGTCACAACAAGCAGCAGTATGGATAAATTTTTTAGGTCGTTGCTCAACTACTTTAAGACAATTTACTGATAATTACTAAAAGCTAACTGATCTTACCTTCTGAATGTTATTTTTTGTACATCTAGTAATATAATAATTTTAACATTTATTTACTTATGTCATATGAAAAGTATGACAGTTATGAAGTTCATAACATCATCATTTAGTTTAACTCAATACAAAACTATATAACAATTTTAGTTAGGTGTTAATGTTGTATTCGAAGATTAGATTATGGGTAACTTCCAGGAACTATTTACTTCAACGTGTCAGGAAGTGTTGAGCAGCAAGAAGCATCATCATGAGGAATGTATCTCTATCGAAACCGTGGACAAGATTCAAGAAAAGAAGAACAGAAATTAACAACAGCCGAACAAGAACAGAGAAAGTCAATGCATAAGCTAAATACACAGAATCAAACAAGTGAGTGAAGAAGGGCATTAGAGCCGACAAGCAGAAATAAGTGGAAGACTTAGTAGAGACACTAGAAAATGCTGCAAAAGAAGGAAATATGAAACAACTATATGACACGAT